AGGATTTGCCTTTGACAAATCGTGATATTTTGCGAACACATCTTCTTATAATTGTCTCAGTATTAATCGTTCGTCATTAGATATACTTTTCAATCATCCGAGCTAGCTTTGATGACAAAACGCAGTGAAAAACGACGTGACCATATCATGGCACGACCCGTTGTTGTTTTAATTTACCGTGAGTATTTTGTTTATTTACAATGAGTAAGCCGCTTTATTTGTTCCTTAATTTCAAAACGGTACTTCCCTCGACATCGGACGCCTTAAACGAAATCGCGCGTTTAGAAATATCGAAACGTGACTGTGAAATCTGCCTGCATGTAAGTGGCTACTTTGTTGCACGCAACGAATTAAAGGACTGTGCCTTTTTTTTAGTCGCGCAGGTGAACTCATGACTGCTTCGAATTTTAAGAAAGAACTAAGTAAGAGGTTGTACAAGCAGTCTTGACCTGAAATTTCAACTCAGCTAGCGTAAACTAGACGTTTATTTCGGGCTTAGAGCTTCTTCAGTATCAGTTGAAAATACATGTGTACTGAAATGTACTTCAACATACTTCCAGTGTGAAACGAACGAAGATCGAAGTGCCGGCTGTTTCCCTTGGCAAGCCATACTCGACGTACCCAGGCCATCATGAGGGACTTTAAGATACGCTACGGTGAGGTGCTACTACGGCTACTTTGGCCGTGAGGGACTAGGCTGACAACGGTGTTTTACCCGCCAGACTCAAATGATTATATATTTTGCTGTACGGCAACGGTATGTGCAGTCTCTATGTGTCTTTACAAAAATGACTACTTTCAAGGAAACCAGAAATTATTCTACTTTCATACGAAATAGGATTGATTAATGACATCTCCCATAACTCAGATTTCCCTTTTAGAACTTGATAGAACCGCCTGTAATTCCAACCACAAAACAAAATATAAACTCTGATATAAAAAAGCTCGATTTCAACACGGACAGGTTGTTCGTACAACGATTACGTGATAAGCCCGAAAATACAAAACTTTCGATTATAATAAAATACATTTTGAACAGAAATAAACAATTATAGCTCAGCTTAGAACATACGAAGCTTTCTTTTCTACGGCTGTTCGGCCCGGTACTAATATGACTGAATTGATCATCTCGCGGTAGTTGTTAAAATCGTTCAAATTTTGTGTACAAATGGCAAAAAAAACAATGATCTTAGAACTGATTTTTATGATTGAGAACTTTATCTTCAAACTAGGCTGTTCAAACAGTGAACAAAGCGTTAAAATGAGAAGTAAACAGCAGGCTTATACTCACGTAGTGAAGAGTACGTGAAACCAGGCACTTTCCCATAGTAGAAAGCAAGGCTACGGCGGGAAAGCCGTAGTGGTACGCGCGTCATGACGTCACAGGAAGCGATCTTCACCATCTGCCGCCGTACTATAACCTAGCCGTACCATATCTTAAAGTTCCGCGACATACGTGTCTGGAGCATGATACTATCCGACTCCGTGCCACGCGTCGGGTTCCGATCTACGATTCGCCGAGTGTCGTGGAATATTGCGACTCCGTAAATTCCACGAAATTGCCAGGTGATTGCTCGTTTCACGCAGTGTCTTTGTGAAGATGAGAACCAGCAATGGCGGATTTAGTGACTTGATAAACAAACTTTAAAGCCTACATGAAACATTTTTTTTTTAATTCCATTTTTTTTTTTTTTTCTTGATGGAGTCCACACCAGATCAAGATATGGAGGTGGATAAAACAAACTGGACATCACTTTCTCTTCGCAACGTTTTAGCCGTCTGAAAATGTAGAAGTTTACTTCCCATTGGGTTAGAAACCGCGGGGACTGGTCAGGCTGTAATGTAAAAAAAAAAGGAAGGTCTGCATATCCTTCTTAAAGGGACACTCTCACGATATAATTATTTGCTTAAAACTGTTATAAATTCACGAAATGGCCTCTAAATTTATGTAATAAGAACTTAAATAGTTCTAACTAAATCATTAAGAGCAATTTCTTGAAGAAAGAAGAAACATTTTTGCAAAATTTCAACGATTCTCGAGCCAAACATGAAATTTTGAAAAACTGACATCCAGACGCTTTTTGGGAAATCCATATCGCAATCCATTTCCATCCTCACCACCGTTAGTCTTCCTCACTTCCTAATGGGTTCTAATCATTTCCCGAGTACTCATGGCTCTACAAAATAAAACCATTCAAGTTGTTCAGCTTCCAATGATCGATATATGTTTTTTGATATTTCCAAAATCATGCTAAAAATGGTGACAGCGTCCTTTTAAACGTGTACATTTCTCACTTTTATTTGTTTATCTACTTTTTTCGTTTCTATTTGTTTGCTTCCAAAAGTATTTCGACCTACGTTCTCATAGCCTGTTCTCATTGATTTCGCGTCACGATTGGGTATCCTCAGGCCTATACTTCGCGCGGTTTCTGTGCAACCGTAAGTGAAATTTGCCGTTTTCAGATGGCTAAAACGCGGTGGAAAATAACGATACCCAATTTTTTTTTTATTTTTCGATCGCCATATCACAATCTTGTGTAGATGTCACTAAGCAAATAAAAACAAATCTGATATGTGCACTTCTCATCAAACGGTTCCATTCTTTAAAATCGCTCAATATTTCGGTTAGGCAAAACTAACTTTCATCATGCATCAGGAGTGGTATAAAGATTAGCCATGCCGCCCAAATCTGCAAGGAGGAAGGCAGCAGGGAGAGAACCTCATGCAAGCTCTAAGCTTTAAATGGGAGAAAGCTGCATGGTCATGGCCATTTGCTGAGCTACACAGAAGAATCGTTTGTTCTGTTACAGTGGCGGATCTAGGGGAGGGTTCCGGGTCCCCTCCCCCCCCACCTATTTTGGATAAAAGAAGAAGAAATGNCCTTGGCTCAAGGTCTGGATCCGCCACTGCAGACAGACAGCCTTTATTTTTAAAAGCACGATTAAAATTGAAGTTCAGTAGCTTATGGGGTCGTGAAAAAACATAATAAAATTAAAATAAATTGAATTAAACTCCATACAAAGTATATACTTGATAAATACAGGTCATCTAAAATCCATTGAAAAAATTAAACTGTGAGTGGATTAAAACTAATTACGCTATAAAGCTATGCACACATCTCTAAACCCTTAGAAAAATCTTATTCTAAAGTTCCCTAAATATAATTAAAATCTGAAGGTCTAAAATAGGCCGTTGCAACTGAAGTGTCCTTCGGGGGTCAGCGTTTTTAAAATATAGGTCGAATGGATTTTCCTGGCCAGGTCCTTCTAGTTTGTGTCTGCTAAATCCCTGTCTTGGTCAATGGCAGCATTCCACAGTATTGGGCTTCTGTGACCGATGTTGTTTTTACCCTAATTCTTGTTAAGCGTGGCACCATTGGCGAGGCCATGCGCTCGCAAAAATGCTCAAAAACATTCTTTATTGCACTGAGTGATGCCATATGCGCCCCTACCGTTGAAGCCCGGATTGATCATGGATGTAAAGGGTGCTTAATTTGATAATTCTCTGGTCACATATATCGATACCATGTATAAATAAAAGAACGCCTTTAACCGTCAATTCCCGGAATTTCTGTTTAGCGATATGTGAAAGGCCTTTCAGAAGAAATTCTGAGATAAGAAAAGATTAGAATGCTCGTATTTGCATTTAGCGTATCAATTAGGAACAGATTCGCATTATTGAGGGTGTGGCAGTTTCTGTTTTCTCCTAAGATGTTCCTGTTTTCTCACTGGGTATCAGCTTATGAGACATTTTCCTTATTTAAAATTAACGAATACTAGACTCTGGACTGGACTCTGGACTCTGAACTCTGGACTCTGGATTAAAAAAAAGGAATAAAGAAATAAAAGACGAAAAATGGTAAAATAAAATACAATAATATAAAATAAAATAATTATCTCTTCACTTTATCAAAGTCACCATTTCAGTTATCATTTATCTACATTTATCATTTCGACATATCGAGCCTTGTCAAGAGCAAGGTAAGAGAGTGAATCCCCCATATAGGCCTTCTGCCCTAGATAATCTCTCTTAAGTTATTTTTAGACATGTTACCCAGTTCCTCCGAGGATGTTACTCGCGCGATGCGTGGACATCTGATGCGACTTTCTCAAAACCACCTGAGACGAAATGGCGGGAACCTCATTTTATGTGTTTTGATTTCGTTTCATGGCCGAGATGTTTTCTGCACTCTCAGCAGTCTTTTTTGTTCGGCCGGGCTTTCGTTTGTTTTGTGCTCGTTTGGCTGTTCACTATTTTGCCATTTATTCGGTTTTAGGAAGTTTAAATAAGCGAACTTTAACGGCAACGGCAGCGAGTACAATGGCTGTGTAAGCGTGCGTTATAATTCTTTGTTCATTTCTTTGCCGTTGTTTACAGAAGGTCATAAAACAACAACGTGAAATAGCCACATTCTGCATATTAGAGAGAACGTGAATTATACGACGACCAGTTTTAAAAATTTCTTTCTCGAAGTTTGACGCTGTCTGACAGTATAGACAGACTGAATGAATCTAAATTCTCGCGAGATTCGTGGGTTGAATGTTAAGTCGTTTTCTAATCGACGTTGTCTTTGGCGTTGTTGCCGTTGCTGCTTAAACTGCTTTTTGCTGCTTGGGCAGCGAGCGTCTGCCTGCACTTTCGACCATCTGTTTGTTCGGTTGCCAAGCTTGTGTTTCGGCGTTTGTTTGCTTTGCACTCGTTTGTCTAGACATTTGTCTGCCGTTCATTCAGTTGTTTTAGCTTAAGCAGGGGACATCCGTCTCTTAATTAAACTCCCTAGTAAAGTTTCGAAATGTATTAAAACATACCGAGATTGCTTGTAATCAAAATATCAAGGAAGACATTCCCACAGCGTTGGAGGTTTTCCTTTTCTTTGAAACGAAACGAAACGACATAAACAGATCCTCCACGAAAACATCCACGCAACGCGCGAGTAACATCTGCGGAAGAACTGGGTACCATGTCTAAAAATATCTCAAGAGGGATTACCTTGGATATAAGCCCTATATGGGGGATTCATTCTCTTACCTTGATAATCTCTTGGCCTTGAAGTATGGCAGGACATGTGTCACCCACAAGAACCTGTAGTTTTCGACCTTGCATGCTCGCTATGAGTCCTCCATAGCTCAGTGGTTAGAGCGTCTGAATGGTATTCTAGAAAGTCATGGGTTCGACTCGCGTTGAGTAATTCGACTTGAAAACGCTTCTTCATTTATTTTAGTTCCAATAATCTTGACCAGGGTCCAGAGTCCAGAGTCCATTCCAGTCTTTAATCCTCGTTTAATACTATGCCGGCGCCTTCCGCCAGTTGCGTGCTTTTAATCGCAGCGCTATTTAAATAACGTTCATGACCTTCTAATGAGGTATACATTTCAAATTAATTTAACATGTTCAATTACATAGCTCCAGTTTACAATGATGAAAGAATTGAAAATAACTGTACAATTCACATGTCAATCTTGATTGTACAAAAATTCAAATCAAGAACCGCTGTTACCGGCAGATGATAACGATTTCGTCCTTTTCTCGTTAAAAGCTCGAAACCCTTAATGGTCATCGATATCGCTGTAACTGTCTATAATCACAAATGCTTTTGCATAGCTAATGAAGGTCTGTTAAACAGCACAGATAAACGCAGCTATTATTTAGCATTTAAAAACAAGGAGGCTATTTCCCTGCGTAATTGAAACGCCTTTGACACCTCCGTAAGACTAGAAAACTAGTTTTAAAGTCAGGATCACAAACAGAACAAGTCAACTCGCCCTTGTTTATTTTAGCAATGGTTACGACAATAGAAGGTATTAATATCGGCGTAACTTCAACTGTGAGTTGGAGCATGGAAATTTAGCCAATGCAAATAAAGAATTGACAAATTTGAGATTTTAATTCAGAAGGGTTTCCGCAATTCGCAATTAAGGGTAACTCATCAACGTTTTAAACTGTCGTAAATCGCAGTGAATTATGTAGGGTAAAAATAGTAATAGAAAGGAAAATAAATTGGGTGTGTTCTGCACGGAGAGATTCGAACAATAAAATCAATATTACTAGTGATATGTTAACAAAACGCAAACTACATATTATTCTACTGTTTTCATGTGCGTGACTTCGCGGGCTTAATTAGATAATTAAATAATTACATGTTTTGATTTGTTTTGTGGCGACCAATTTTAATTTTAATATTCAAAGCATTTGTACGTTTCATGAAATGACCTACCACACAACATTGCTTAATTCCGTGCGGTGTTCGTACATGGAACTTTCAAGGGTGTTTTATCAGTGACCTTTATTAAACACCTTCAAATAAACTCTCATATCTCTGTAATAATCGTGGTAAAATGGGGCCGACGTGGAAAAAACCTGTATATAATTACCAATCGCGCTATTTGGTGCACTAATATGATCAATTGTAAAGCTTTTAATGGGTGAGAATTGAAAATTAATTCTTAATCTTCTCAGAAAAAATTTCATATTCATGTCGCAAACAACCAGGGTTTTCTTTTGCTATAAACAAGGAAAGTTCTTAAATACTGGCTAGACGGAGTGCCATGTGTTTGACTGAGCACTAAAAATTAGTTATGACATGTTAGTAATATCACCTAGCAGGCTAAAATTACGTTATAAGTTCAAGGATGTAAACACGTACGTAAAAGCATGTTTTAGCCATACCGCGTTGAGATTCCACATCCTGTTTTCGCCCTTTTTAATTTGCGGAACGTGAGCGAAGAGGAAAAGATCTTTACAGCAGTTAATCAACGCTGAAAGCTTTTAACAAAGCTACGAGTTACAACTGAACTCCGTTCCTCAGAGTCTTACGTAGCAAGTTCGCATCAACTGAAAAGATGAATCTTTCTACTGAGTCAGCCGAACCAACAGGCTCCTATTCAGAACCGTCAGCGTTCGAAGTGACAAAGATGTTTCTATACGTCGCAATACTCATCCTTAGCTCTGTTGGCAACACTATGGTTATAATAATAATTTGCAAGTTCAAACACATGAAACGCTTGCCAGGAAATCTATTTATTGTGAACCTGGCGCTGTGTGATTTGCTGACTCCCCTCATAAGCATCCCACTCGAAATGATGCTGGTAGAGACGGAGAACACGTGGGTCCTTGGACCAGCATTGTGCAAACTTCTCCCAGCAGCGGCAACGTTTTTCACGACGTCTTCGTCCCTAACACTAGCTGCAATCTCACTGGATCGGTACAGAACGCTCATGCATCCTTTTAAACAGCGCCTCGACAAAAGAACTGTGAAACTTCTTATCGCGTTCGTACATTGCTGCTCCGCCATATTGATCATTCCTCATGTTATAACCTCACAGCTGTCTCCAAGCGTTCAATGCATCGAATCCTGGCCAAACAAGTTGCTTCCCAAGATATACACATTTGTTCTGTTCTTCGCGCAGTACGCAGGTCCGCTCGTGTTCATGGCTGCCATGTATATCTTCGCCGCGCGTAATCTTTTTGTCTCGACGCAAAGAGCGCGTTCTTATTCGGTTTCGTCAGCAAATTCCACGGGAAACAGAAATACTTCACCCAAACGCGTCCTTGACCCGCGTGAAGTCGGTTGCTCGCGAGATTCTTTAGAAAGACATTTTCGCAAACACAATGAACAAAACGCACAAATCACCAAGGTGTTTATTGGAATAGTCGTGGTCTTCGCGGTTTTCACACTACCTATCGAAGTCTTATGGATTTGGGGAGAATTTGCCGGAGGGGTGAACCATAGACTGTACCCCACAATAGCGGTGGTATGCCGTTTATTCACATACGCAAACAGTTGTCTGAATCCAATCATCTTTTACAAGTTCAGCCGCGATTTCCACCGAGGATTTCTGGCCTTCTTTCGGCATCCCTCGTCTTGCAAAGATGGCGCGTCAACACCCGCCAATGAGGCTACCGCGTGGGATAGGAATGGAAAGATGACTCCATCTTGGCTGACACCACGAGGATCATTGCAAAGCACTCCTGCATTGACACCTCGAGGGTCCATCCAAGGCTCAAAACATTCCGTCAGCTTTGCAGATCAAGGAAAATCTTTTCATGACGACAAGAAATGTGATAAATTAAGTATTCCTCATTCTGACTATGACACTCACAGCAGTTTATCTTATGTTGGAACATTTAGCAGACGTCACGAAGAGGAAAATATCACCGAATGCCTGAGCGCCAATCCAATTGCATTGGAAGAGAACGTTTCTAACCATAACTGTAATATTACGATTAAGATTTTCTTCTACGAATGCAATTTAACCATTGAACTAGATAAACTAGAATCATTGTTAGTTCTTCCTCAGACCGATTGTTAGAGGAGAGTTAGTTCCGCTTGCATAAAACACTGGGTTTTTTTTTCACAGTTAAAACCTGAAAACCAGGACAATGCCAAGTGAAAGAATTAACCAGTTCAGGTCATGTCATTGTAATTATCTTACACTAGGTATAAAAGTTAGAGCCCATTTGTAAGGCATGATGCACAAAACGACATCAGGAAGTACTACTCAATAGCTTTCATTTTGTCACACACTAGGGTTTCATCCACAGACTTAAAAGTTAGAAACACCTTGTACAACATAACAAACAGTACCACATTAAAGTACTGCTCAATAGCTTGCATTTGAATGGTCACACATTAGGTTTTCATTCACAGACTTAAACGTTAAAATCAACTTGTACAGCATAATAAACAGTACCACATGAGAGTACTGCTCAATAGCTTTCATTTGAATGGTCGCGTACTCAAAAGTTTCCCTCCACTTACGAAAAGATTACATTGAAATTAATCACCTCGATCGTACAGACTTTAAATCTGGCTTTAAAAGGTAATTAGTTAATCATGGTTAATTATGAATTTTGCTTTTTCATGTCTCCGGTTTGAATAAAAATGTTCTATAAACTTGGTTACTATGTTGATCTTGATTTATAACTGAAAGGAGCTCAGGGACGGCCTTCTTGAGTTCTTTTGGCCAGTACAAAATTACTTCTAAATTGAAGGAGAACTGAAAATAGTAGTTTACTAAGACAGAAAATCACCAAAGGGACAATAACTGACCACAAAGGAACAAGGATGGTTAAGGACGGAGAAGATTAACACGGATTAAAAACGACGAACTTAGGATAACTTTTCAAGATGCGTAAACCGTGATTTAACTGTTTAAGTCGCCGATAAGTGTGTTTTTTCAATTATCGTGAGTTGTATGAGTCTGAACAAAAGTGAGCATAAGTTAATTACAGACAAGCATCAAACTGAACGACGTGGTTCTCACAACTACTAAGGAGTCCAGTGAGGGACGGTTAATATACAGTCAAATTACATTTTGTTCAATCAGGTATTACGAAAATATTATTCATGACCGCATTTTATCGATTTAGAACAAATATATACACAAGTAAACAAAACAAAACACTTCAAATGTTTATGTTGCTGTTGGTAATGCGGTGAACGAGAAATGGGTCGGGGGGGGCGTGACCTTGTTTTAATTCGATTTTAGGAGGAAGTCTTTTCGATGCGTGAGTCAGCTTTTGAACTAATTTGGCGCATACTTTGCAGAAACTGTCGGATCTTGCAAATAACTGACATCTAATATGTGAGAAAGAAATGTTAATTACTTGACTCAATTCAACTGTTAGCGGGGCCTTGAAAGGAACATAGGAAGTGGCTCGACCAGCCTGAAGCTATTCCGGAAATCACTTAGCGATCCAAACAAAAACAATAAGAAGACGGTTACTTCATTATCAGTACTTTTATAATAATGAAGACGACAAAAACAGAAACAGATTTTGAAGTTACTTGGAAGCCTACGTGTTTATCGGTTGTTTTTAATTGTAATGGATATTTTTAATGATACTCCTTTAAAAGATGCAGCAGGCGTTAAGATCATTCATTGGCAATCAAAATTAAGCCTTTAATTTACGTCTGATGCAATTTTAAAAGCCATTTTGACCCACTACGTGTTTATATGAGTTTTAAAAACTCATTTTGTGTATTTTTAGAAACAACTCTTGCATTATCTCTTGAGCAGATATAGACGTCATTGAACGCTGAAGAAAGAACTTAATAAAATCTCGAAGTTTAGTTTACAAATTCCGTCAACGAGACAATCAAAAATCGCTCCAGATCACAATAGCATCAGCCTTGGTCCGTATAATTGTAATGGCGGGATGCTCTAGCTCGGGGCAATTTGTTTTGTTTTGATCTCATTTATTGAATGTTTACATAAACAGTCTTTTTAAAAAGATACTTGATTATCGCTTGTGTCATCGACCAAGGTCGATAGACCTACCACTGAGATTTCGACGCAACTGAACGACTTTACTTCAACGCGGCACGCAAGGAGATTTAAACTTTTGTACGTGGATTTAGCTGTAACTGGGCACTCTAAAAAAAGTATAGAGGCAAATACTTTTAGTCTCTCGTCCTTGTCCCGTGAAATCAGAATGCACACTTTAGTTTGTAATAACAGATTAGTTGACAGAAAAGCCACTAAAAAGACACATATTGAAAACATTTAAAACCAATCAAAGACGTCAAAACGAAGGCGCTAAGTCACGCGACTAAAGTAGTTCTACAAAATTTGCACACTGCGGTTTTTGAATCTAACGAAAAACCTTTAGCAAAAAGGTCTTTATGGCACGGCTATAGAATGTCATTTACTAAAAAACACAGTATAAGTCGGCAATTTACATGAGCACACCTCTTTCATTTGACATGTGATCCTGAGTGAGAAAGCCAATTTAACCACGGCCATTTTCAGTGACCATGATAACTCACATTCCATAGCACTTTCGCCTGACTTTTTGTTTAACATCAACGGCTTTTAAAAAATAGCTGTCAGATAACTGATTTGAAACTCGCTCACAGTTCCATCTCTGCCCCAGGTCTATCGTTACTTTCGGTCACGTGGTCGACGAGGTCCAACGCACTGCTCAATCGTTATTTCGGTAAATAGCAATAGGAAGTAGTTTAATCGTCAGCTTGTAATTCCGCGGATGCTTCGCATCCTCTTTGAGGGTGTAGGAACAATTTTGGAGGTTTAGATATATTTATTCAGCTTTTGGTTTCCGCAATATGTAGCCGATGCAATTTCACTTTCATATTTTGTTTTTTTAAAGGACTTCGCCAAGTTTTGAACGCTTGTATCGATAAACATTGAAGTATGAACTCCAAATTTGGTGAATGCTAATTTCTTAAAATTAACAATCTGGTATGACATTTTATAGCGGTACTGCTTCTACTTTTCTACTTTTTTTCTAAATAAATTAGGTCTTTGTCGATTTTGACTACTTTAACTATGTCTGGTGATTTCCTAACGCTCTGTAAGATTCAGTAACTCCAAGATGGCGGACTCAAGATGGCAGACTCAAGATGGCGGACTCAAGATGGAGGACTCAAGGCGGCCGCTATGCAGAAATATTGACGTCATTTCCCTGTGATATGACGTCATCTTTCCATATTACGGACATCAAAGGAATATACATTGGATATATTATTGGATGTGTTGAAGATCCTCTTAATATCGGTCAGAATGGTGTTAATATCTCTTAGAGTGTGAACTGAATTTGAGTACGTGGTTCTGTTGAAAGATTCTCTTCAAAAAAGGTCAACGACTAGTCTCTCATTTTTCTCTGGTGTGTTGAGTGGAAGAGCACGCGAGTGCGTGCTAAAAATCAACTCGCAATTCGCGTGCTCAGTCACTCGACTAAACTTAAAAAATGGCAAATAACTGCATGGCACTCCGTTTATTTTGAAATATTTCCCAGTTGGTCAATTTCTCTATTGGTGTGGTTGATATTGTGAGGGTTATTAGAGGGTTTATCTTACATTCCCTACACTTTAAGAGCAAAAGGCTCTCTGCTACTTTGTACGGTGTGCAACAAGCATGTGGCGTTGCTGATTCTATTTTTTTTTTTTTTTTTTTTTTTTT